CCAGGAGGCGGGGGTGGCGGTGAGCCGAGATCGCGCCATTGCACTCCCGCCTGGGGAAAATAAGAGAAAATCCCCCTCAAAAAAAAAAAAAAAAAAAAAAAAAAACCATAAATCCAGCTCCCTGGGATTCGTCTCCATAGTTGCTGTAATAAATTGGCACAACTTTAGTTGATTCCTTCACAGTTTGAGATCACGAATTTGAGATCGCCTGGCCAACATGGTGAAACCCCGTCTCTACTAAAAATACAAAAAATAGCTGGGCGTGCTGGTGTATGCCTGTAATTCCATCTACTTGCAAGGCTGAGGCAGGAGAATCGCTTGAGCCTGGGAGGTGTAGTTTACAGCGAGCCGAGATCGCACTATTGTACTCCAGCCTGGGCAACAGAGACTCCATCTCAAAAAAAAAAAAAAAAAGCAATGGGAAGAGTGTGGGCTCTGGAGCCTGCTGATCTTACACTGGAATGTTCCCTCCACCGTGCAGCGGTTGTGCTGTGACATGGGGTAAAGCACTGGTCTTCCTTGCATTTGTGTGTTTCTTTCTGTAAGAGGAAGAAGGTCAGCTAATGGTGGGGAGACATAATGGCTCCGTTCTGTTTTTTTTTTTTTTTTTGAGATGGAGTCTTGCTCTTGTTGCGCAGACTGGAGTGCAATGGCACCATCTCGACTCGCTGCAACCTCCGACTCCTGGGTTCAGGTGATTCTCCTGCCTCAGCCTCCTGAGTAGCTGGGATTACAGGCATGCGCCGCTATGCCCGGCCAATTTTTGTATTTTTAGTAGACATAGGGTTTCTCCATGTTGGTCAGGTTGGTCTCGAACTCCTGACCTCAGTTGATTTGCCCGCCTTGACCTCCCAAAGTGCTGGGATTACAGGCGTGAGCCACCGCACCCGGCCCAATTCTTGGCTCTCATCCCTACCTATCCTCTGCTGGGGATCTCATCGGGTGTCTGGCTTTAACTGCTGTCCCTGCACCTGCACCTCCTGGATGCATAGCTCCAGGTCACCTCCTTCTCATACTTTAGACTCACATATGCAACTGCCTACCTGACATGTCCACCTGCATGTCTAATTGCACACATCTAAAGCCAAACTCCTGGTTCTCCCTCACAAAGCTCATCCACCGCAATCATCCTTACTTCAGCTGACTCGGTGTCCTGGTCCTGTGGGGGCCCAAGCCCTAGTGCCTGCGCCGCTCTATTAAGATAGCTCTGAAAGGGTGAGGAGTGTTGTTTTTCTACCAGGCTGTGAGCTGCATGTAGCCAGGGTTGTTTAGTTTATACTTGCATCTTTGGCCCCTAGCTCAGTGCCTGGCACATAATAAGGAAAATATTTATTGAATGAATGCACTGATTTTTTTTTTTTTTTTTTTTGAGACAGTCTCGCTCTGTCGCCAGGCTGGAGTGCAGTGGCATGATCTCGGCTCACTGCAACCTCCGCCTCCTGAGTTCAAGTGATTGTCCTGCCTCAGCCTCCCAAGTAGCTGGGATTGCAGGCATGCACCACCACGCCTAGCTCATGTTTGTGTTTTTAGTTGAGACGGGGTTTCACCATGTTGGCCAGGAAAGTCTCAATTTTCTGACCTCGTGATCCACCCACCTTGGCCTCCCAAAGTGCTGGGATTACTGGCGTGAGCCACCGTGCCTGGACTTTTGTTTTTGACACTGTCTAGCTCTGTTACCCAGGCTGGACTGCAGTGGCGTGATCTTGGCTCACTGCAACCTCCACTTCCTGGGATTGTAGGAACACACCACCACACCCAGCTAATTTTTGTATTTTTAGTAGAGGCGGGGTTTCACCATGTTGGCCAGGCCAGTCTTGAACTCCTGATCTCAAATGATCCACCTGCCTCAGGCTCCCAGTGCTGGGAGTATAGGCAAGAGCCACTGTGCCCGGCCAAATACCCTGATTTTTAAACAGGCCATAAAAATGTGACATGTTCTACAGCAGGGACATGTTTAAAGTACATTGGCGACACTCTGCATTGTGAGCGGGGGTGTGAGGGGTTTTCAAGAAATAACGCATGAACTGGACCTTTTTATGCTTGCTTTTGGCAACAAGGCCACGGCAGCAGCTCTGCAGAGGCCCTCGGAGGCGGCAAGAGATGGCAGGAGAAAGGCAAATAACAGAGGCAGGGCAGCACCCACAGGAGGGGAGGCGAGACAGTCAGCAGACAGTTTCGAGGGAGTCAGGACTTCATCCTGCAGCGAACACCAGATAGTATCTTCTAACGACCTCCCTCCTGCCATTAGAACCCAGCCCAGGCTCTCCCTCTACTTTCCACAGGGTTCTGCACGTGGTCAGCCCTCAGGAAATGAATCAGTTCCTTAACCAGGCTCCTCAGAGGTCCAGCAGCTGCCCAGGAGCTAAAGATTACATTTTTGGCCACGGTTCAGAGTTAGCTGAAAAGAAAAACTAACAAGAGGACCGGAGCACTTGTCGTCCTGGACGGTGGGCAGTGATGTGACTGCTCAGAGGCATTTCCTGTTGGCGGGGACAGCGGGACCTCAGGCACCGTCCTTCTGAAGGAAGGGCTGCAGCAGCCTGGGCAAGGGCAGCCAATGGTGACGGTAAATCCTGGCCACCTGGGGGAGACAGGCCAGCAGTTCAACAGCTTTCTCTTCTGGGAAGGGCATGTTGCTTGAATCCGGGAGAGGGAGGTCGCAGTGAGCCAAGATCATGCCACTGCACTCCAGCCTGGGCAACAGAGACTCTGACTCACAAAAAAAGAAACATAGATAATACCTGAGACAGTAATTGATAAAGAAAAGAGGTTTAATTGGCTCAAGGTCCTGCAGACTGTACAGGAAGCACAGTAGCTTTTGCTTCTAGGGAGGCCTCAGGAAACTTACAATCATGGCAGAGGCTAAGGAGAAGCAGGCATGTCTTCTATGGCTGGAGCAGGAGGGAGACAGAGGGGAGGTGCCACACACTTTGAAGCAACCAGATGTGACGAGACCTCACTATCACAAGAACAGCATGGAGGGTATGGAGCCGAATCATTCATGAGGACTCTCCCCCATAATCCAATCACCCCCACCAGGCCCAACATCCAACATGAGATTTCGACATGAGATTTGGTGAGGACACGGATGTAAACCATTATCAGTAGTGCTTTCATGCTTCTGATTATATTTGGTAACTATGTTATTGAACTATAATTTACATACCATGTAATTCACCAATGAATGGTCTTAAGCATATTCACAGAGTTGTACGACCATCACTACAATCAATTTTAGGACATTTTTATCCTGCAAAAGACAGGCCTCAATCTTCCCATTCCCTCCTATACCTAAGCAACTGCTCATCTACTTCCTCTATACAGAGATTCGCTTATTCTGGACATATTTTAAATAAGTGGAATAACCAGTGAAGATGGACTAGTTAGTAAATACCGCAGCTTCCGGTCACCCAGTGGATATATTCTACATGTTCCTCAGTGGAAGTGAGTCCCCACTACCCACTAACTGAACACAAGTCCCTTGTTTAGAGTCTGAGGAACCCAACGAGGGCATTCAGAATGGGGAATTTGTTTCACCTTTGTCCCAAATGTGTCTCATGAACTATCCCTTGCTATTTTTTTTTTCTTGTGATGGAGTCTCACTCTGTAACCCAGGCTGGCGTGCAATGGCACGATATCTGCTCATTGCAATCTCTGCCTCCCAGGTTCAAGGGATTCTCCTGCCTCAGCCTCCCGAGTAGCTGGGATTACAGGTGCACACTACCACACCCAGCTAATTTTTTTTGTATTTTTAGTAGAGATGGAGGTTCACTGAAGTTTCACCATGTTGGCACGTGAAGCGCTGTGCCGCCAGGAGGTTTCTAGGGCTCCCCAATAACTCCTTCTAGTGAGATCTGGTGTTTCCAGGAGGCCCTCAGTCTTGACACGAAGACTGTTGGGTGCAGCTGTGCTCCCCAAGAGCAGGCCCCTTCTGCAGTGCCAGTGTCTTGGAATAGTTCCATAGGCAGCCAGCGGCTTCTGCTCTTTCCCATCTGCACAGTGCAGATGACATTCTGTTGTAGCCCAACTTCACATGTCCAGGTGCTTGTAGAGTCTACGACTTTTTTCTTTTTTATTTCTGTTGCCATGTTTCTTCCAGGGCTTCCCTGCCCCATTCTCAGAGCTCGCAGTAGCCGCAGTCACCACCCCGCTCCCGGGCTTGTAACCCATCACAGCCTGGACTCCTTTGGTCAAAGCTCTAACATTCTCCTAGGAAAGAAGAGAAAACATCATCTGAGATGTCAGCAGGCTATCCTTTAAGGGATATGCACAGCACTGTTAGTGGATCACTTCAAGATAAGGAGTAAATCACTCAGTGAATTTCCATCCATCCCTTTCACTGGTCCTCTTCCTCTCCCCAGCATTCTGTCTTCAGGTCATCTGTTCTCCCTCCTCATTCCCTCATCAACTTTGTTTAGCCCCATAGTTTAAAATGCCACCGACAACTAGACTCAGTCCCAGCTGTTTTCTGGACATTTGTCTTAATATCAGAACTTAACCTGCTTCAACCAAATTAGAAATGGACTCTAAACAAATTTTAAGTTTACTTAGTAAAAAAAAAAAAAAAATTACAATATGATTTACAAGTTACTAATAGTAAAATATTACTCTAGAGGCTACAGTTTAGACATATGAATTATACTAAAATTATGGCAAGTTTTCAGCTTTCCTGTATGTAGCCTTTAGAAACCTGTAAACATTTAAAAATTCAAAATAAATGTTCCGTATGACGGTTGTAGGCCCAAGAAGAAACTTGTGATCTTTTTGCATATTGGTAAATTTTCTTCTAAATATTGGTGCCAACTTGGAAATAATTCACAGTAGGAGCTGTGAACATCTAAGTAACACTCTGCAGTTTAAAGCAAGTGCCCTCGGGCAACTCAATCTCTTGGAGCCCCAGTGTCCTCAGGGAGTGATATCTGCTGGGCCTGCTTCCAGGCCCACTGTGTGAGGCCCCAGATAAAACACTGGATAAATGCAAAAGCATTCTCCGGACACAGCTGACCACCCCCTCCTAACCGCTGGCCCATTTTTGCTATAGCAGTCACTTAAAAACATCTTTAAGCTACGTTGGGTACAACTATCTGATTTACCTCTTTGGCTTGTAGATTTGTCCTTTAAAATACTGCTGACAAATTGTAGCTGTGATATCAGCAACTAAGGTTATCAATATTTTAAAGTGCAGAAGACATTTATGAAGTCTGTTCTATGGCACTTTCTATCACCAAATGTGTTGGCTCAAAGAAAAGACAACTGACTAAATGGGTGCAAATATTCGTAAATCATAAATCTGATAAGGGACTTATATCCCAAATATATAAAGAACTCTTACAACTTAATAATAGATGTTTCTCTAAAGAAAATATACATGTGCCAACGAGCACGTAAAAAGATGCTCAGCATCACTAGTAATTAGGGAAGTATCCATCAAAACTGTAATGCAGCGGTACCTCACATGTATTAGGATGGCTACAATGAAAACAGATGGGAAATAATAACTGCTGACAAGGATGAGGAAAAATTAGAAACCTCATACATCACTGGGGGTAATGTAACATAGCACAGCCACTTTTGGAAAGTGTGGCAACACCTCAAATGTTAAACATGGAGGTACAATATGACCCAGCAACCCCAGTATATACTCAAGAGAAAGGAAATCCATGTCCACACAAAAACTTGCACACCATTATTCACAGTAGCCAAAAAGTGGAAACAACCCAAATGTCCATCAAATGATACATGGATAAACAAAATGTGGCACATCTATACAATGAAATATTATTTGGTAATAAAAAGGAATGAAATACTGACACATGCTACAACATGGATAAATCTTTAACATGTCACACTAAGGTCAGGCACAGTGGCTCACGCCTCTAATCCCAGCACTTTGGGAGGCCAAGGCGGGCAGATCACAAGGTTAGAACTTTGAGACCAGCCTGACCAACATGGTAAAACCCCATCTCTACTAAAAATACAAAAAAAAAAAAAAAATTAGCTGGATGTGGTGGCGTGTGCCTGTAATCCCAGCTACTCTGGAGGCTGAGGCAAGAGAATCGCTTGAAACTGGGAAGCGGAGGTTGCGGTGAGCCGAGATCGGTCCAATGCACTCCAGCCTCTGTATCAAAACAACAAAAGATATTATGCTAAGTGAAAGAAGCCAGTCACAAAGAGCACATAGTATGATTCCATTAACATGGAATGTCCAGAACAGGCAAATCTACACATAAAGATTGATTATTGGTTGCAGAGGCTGGCAGAAAAGGGGAACAAGGAGTAACTGTTAATAAGTAAGTTTTCTTTTGGGGGTTATTAAATCCTTTTTAAGGTTACTGAAATGTGTTTATGGCATGTGATACTCAATAAAGCTGTTATCAAGAGTGTTGACTCAGAGGTTTAAGAAAAGCTTCAAAACTTACTTGATGGAAAAAAGTTTTATCAACTATATTTTCAATCTGCTTTGCTTTTTTATTTCTGCCTGGCTGCATTTTTATTTCATCACCATTCATTTTGCTCTCTAGGAGTCGCTGGTGTTGATGCTGAAAAGTTACGGGATCTCTTCCAGGAGGAGGATGGCAGTACAGCAGCTTACCCTGCAAAGACAACGTGAATGAGAACAGTGCATCCTCAGTGCCAGCCGTGGCCTCAGAGGAGACGTCGCCACCCAGTCACACCTGATGGAGCTTTCTGCCTTCTGGTTAAGTTAGCTGAGTTGAGCTTTGGTTTACTGCAGCTGAAGAGTCCTTTCTCTATAATGGTCAAAGTGCTCGAGAGACCTAGCTCTTCCCATGCCTCCCAGACTGGGCTGAAATCTCTTCTTTTCCCTTGGTTTCATTCCCACTCAAGTATTCTTCAGCATACTGACATGATTATACTTGCAGTGAATATTTTCCAAAATAAAACTCAAGACACACCTGAACAGTTATGACTAATGGTAACGTTGGGTGGACTATTAGCGTCAGGGGCGCTCCGAGACTCTTGTATGCGGGGTTGCAGGTGCTCACGAGGCGCAAGTCTGCCTCTTTCCATCATAAATGCTCTGAAGGCTGTGACTATTTTTACCTCATCTTTACAGCCTCCATAGTAAGTGGTAAATGAATACATGATTTATCCATAGCAAGAGTATTAACTACTTTCTTCCTGAACTGAAGGCAAGCCCATATGGTTGCCACTATGCTCCAAGAGCTCCACTGATGTGGTCTTGAGAAGGCTGAGGACTTGAGAACCACCAAATCCTCAGCCGGGCGCGGTGGTTCACGCCTGTAATCCTAGCACTTTGGGAGGCCAAGGCAGGTGGATCACAAGGTCAGGAGTTCAGAGCAGCCTGGCCAACATGATGAAACTCCGTCTCTACTAAAAATACAAAAATTGGCCAGGTGTGGTGCCACGCACCTGTAATCGCAGCTACTCAGGAGGCTGAGGCAGGAGAATCGCTTGAACCCAGGAGGTGGAGGTTGCCGTGAGCTGAGATCACAGCACTGCGCTCCAGTCTAGGTGACAGAGCGAGACTCTGTCTCAAAAAGAAAACGAAGCCTGGGCCGGGCGCGGTGGCTCAAGCCTGTAATCCCAGCACTGTGGGAGGCCGAGGCGGGTGGATCATGAGGTCAAGAGATCGAGGCCATCCTGGTCAACATGGTGAAACCCCGTCTCTACTAAAAATACAAAAAATTAGCTGGGCATGGTGGCGCGTGCCTGTAATCCCAGCGACTCAGGAGGCTGGGGCAGGAGAATTGCCTGAACCCGGGAGGCGGAGGTTGCGGTGAGCCGAGATCGCGCCATTGCACTCCAGCCTGGGTAACGAGTGAAACTCCGTCTCAAAAAAAAAAAA